TACCTGTTCTTTTTTTTGTATAGATTTTATTAGTTTTTATAGGCTTAGGAATAAGGTGGGGTCGAGGTTGGGGTTGGGATTGGGTTAGGGTTAGGATTAGGGTTGGGGTTTTTCCAAATAACATTCTCAATATTTAGCAAACAGCATAATGTCTGGGTTCATGTGTTTAACAAACAATAATAGATAATAGTTAATTATCATAATATGTTAGCTAATCACTCAATAGCCTTCTTCTTGCTAATATATATTCAAAATTACATATCACATTCCTTTCTCTCTAACTCGTTTTTCTAGCCATTGATAGAAATTATCCCATGTTCGAAAGTACACTGAGTCTTCTTTCTCTTTTATCTTTAAAGTCAATCTATCCATTTCTGCACACTTTAGAATTTTCTTAATTAGCACTTCTTCAGCTGGTAAATTTTAATTTTTCCAATGTTGGGCAAATACAATTCTTGCTGCCATTAGTACGTGTAGTATTAAATATCTGCAATCTTTCTCATAATTTGCTCCTATTATTCCTAACAAAAATAATTCTGGCTTAAAGTCTATTTGTTTTAGTCATTTTCTCCAACCATAACCCAAAATCTTTTTGCTTTAGGGCATATCCACCAGATATGATAATAAGTACCTGGTCTTTGTTTGCATTGCCAACAGTTATTTGAAGTATTTTTAAACATTTTTGCTAATCTCACTGGTGTCATATGCCATCTGTAAAACATTTTATATAAGTGTTCTTTATATGCCACTGCTTTAGTTAATGTAATATTTATTTCCCATAACTTTTGCCAATCTTCTAATTCTATATTATATCCAAAGTTCTTTGTCCATGTTATCATTGTTTCTTTTACTTGTTCTTCCTCCATCTTTTAAGTTTAACAGAAATCTAGAGTTTAATCAACTTTTCATCTGTTTTTAGCAGTATCTGATCAAATTCTGTCTGGTCTTTGTAAAACCCCATTGTTTTAACATCTTTTTCATATCTCATTTGAATTTGCAGATCTGACCACCATGCTAGATCAATACCTTGTTCTTGTAAATCTTGTCTGTCTTTCCATTTTCCTTCATTGTCCAAAATATCTTTATAAGTCATAGTTTATCATAGTTAATTAAATCCTCATAGATTTGTTTGGGATTCATCGTTTCTTTAATGTATAGAGCTATTCCTCTTTTCTTTTGAAGTGCTAATGGAAAGTGAAGTTTATTTATAATGTTGTCTTTTAATGTGTGTTTCATGAAGACAAATATCCATTTTTAATTCTTGTAGTCGTGTAAAAATTTTTCTCCTTTTTGAAGGAGAATTTGGTTTATTTATATTCATTGACAAACTCCCACTCTCCTCCATCTCTTTCAGTTATACCTAGGTCTTAATCTTCTAGTCGATCTCATCTGTCTCTGATCTCTTGGTCTTGCTCCTTCTTCTGTATATGTGTTTTTAATTTCTTCCTCCTCTCTTGGTTTGACTGCTCCTTCTACTGCCATTTCTTCCTGTTTCTTTGTTTTTCTCTTTGAACCGGATTCAGAGTCACCTCTTTCCAAAAATGCTCTGTGGTTGTTGAAGAATTCCATTGCTTTAAGTGGCATATCCAGTCTATATCTTTTCGTATCCCAGAAATTAAAATCCTTCTGGAATCAGCCATCTGAAATTCACTCCTTTTTCAATTAATTTCCTAGTTAGAAACTGGTATTTTCTTCGGGATTCTCTTATTCTCCTAGGAATTTGTTTGAGGACTACAATTTCTTTTTCTTTGTATTTCAAAGGTTTGTCTCTTACTCTTCTCAAAATCTCATCTCTGGTAGATCTTTTAAGAAATCTAACATGTACTTCCCTGGGGACTTTATTTCTTCTAGCAAAGTTTGAGTACAAACAATTCTTGTTGTCATTAGTACGTGTAATATTAAATATTAAATATTTTTCCCATTCTGAAAAAAGTGCATTCCTTATAAAATGGTTTTGAAAGTATCTATGTATTTTATTCTTCCCATACCACAGAAAGGCATGCCAACCAATTTGTAGGTCATGCCTCTCTAGGCACAATAGTCTTTTGTCTCTAAGCATTATCCATTCTTTAAGCCATGTTAAAATAGTTGCTTGGTATTATAACCTCCAGTCCGGCAGTCCAAATCCTCCACTTTCTTTGTTTCCTGTAGCCTTTTCACTCTAATTCTAGCTTTTTTTCCTTGCCAGATAAATTTCAATATTATTGTATTCAGTTCATCAAAAAAGGCTTTTCCCAGCCTTACAGGAATCGTTTGAAATAAAAAGAGTATTTTTGGTAAGATACTCATTTTCGCTGTTGCTGTTCTCCCCAACCTTGAAAGTTGGAAGTTTTTCCACTTTTCCAAATCCAGTTTTGTTTTAGCAGTCTTACATAGTTATCTTCTTTTATTGTTACATATCTTGCTGTTAAACTATTTGAAGATTAGATTTTTTTTGTTAGTTGATTTTTTTGTTTTTCTGTTAGATTCTTTGTTAGCACTTTAGTCTTTTCTCTGTTTATTGTCAACTCTACCACTTCTCCAAATTTTTCTATTTTCTCCAGACGTTTGGTGCTTGTTTCATTTATTATCTGTTCTTTACTGTAGGAGTTGAAGGCAACATATATGTCCCCTCATTTAATTTATTTCACTCTATATCCCACTCTTAAATATAAGGCACTCAAAATTATATTCTTTTTATATGTATGTACAAGCGGTATCTGAGAGAAAACATAAATAATCAGAAACTTACTACTGCAAAACTTACTACTGCAATGCATTGTATGTATGGCTAAAACTGATGTTGGCTTGAGAACTGAAGTTACTGCAAAATGCTGCAACTATGTTAGTTTGAGCACCTAACAAAACTTGGCTATCTTGAAAATCTGGTTAATACTTTGGTGGGAGACTACCAGGAAACTCCAGTGCTATGAATTAAGTTGAAAAAAGCATCCTGGGAGACATTGTTGTTTGTTTCCAGGAAAACTACACATATGTATCCATGAAGTCAATGGTAATCAAGCTTAATTCAGACTTTATGCCGCAATGAAGAGAATAGTCTAACATGTTATATCTGTCCTGAAGGCACAATGTTGGTTATCACTTTATTACAGAACAAAGTTCATGGCACTTGCTTCTCTGGCTTGCAGTAATGGTTATCTTATAGAATGCATGTCTGTTATGTACCCCACCCATTAGCTAGCTAAGTATAATTCTTGAGGATTATCATTATTATTGGTTCATCACAGTCAGCCAGATATTCAGACTGGATTTGGCATTTTTATTCTACTCAAATTTATTTGCTGCCCATCTCACGGTTCAAGGCGACTCTGAGAGGCTTGATGGATACTGCATCTGCCAACAATTACTATGTGACAACTTTAGAGACCACAATATATACATCCCTGTCACCAAGATTTGAAAGCTTTTGGCACTAGTCCACCCTGATGATCAGTTATTCTGGTACTACTGTGAACTGCAAACTGGTTTGTTATTACTGGTTTGTCATTACTTTTGTTTTAAAGCTTTATATTATTCTTAGATATTAATTATTGGTTTCAGCCTTTATAGTATACATTGCTTTTGGTTGTTTCCTGCTTTGGAAGTCTTTTTCAAAATTCACTGAAGTTTTTAAACCCTCTAAATAAAGGACAAATCTCCCAGAGCTGTATAAACAAATGCAGATCTGAAATAGGGTCTTCCTGGGATCAGTAGAACATAAGTCTATTGATTTCAGTGTAAGTCTTTTGTATTTTTTTAGAGCAAAGAATGATGAATGTAATCAAGAGTTCATAGCAAAAAACTTGTACTGGTATAGAAAGCTAGCTATGCTGTAGCTTATTGAATAAACTTAATCCAAGGTTAAACACAAGGGACTAGGTTAATTGAGTAATAGTGATGGAGTAAAAAAGAATATTCTATTAATGTATTCTAAACAAAGTTATCAGTGAGAGTTTTAATCTCCTTCCCAACAGCTTCAGAGAACTGTAATAAGTAATAAGTAATAAGTAACTGTAATCTGTAATAAGATTTCAGAAATCAGTTCTATTGATTGTAACCTTTTCTCTTTGAGTAGCATAAAAAGATGATATAAATTAAAATTTACAAAGCAACAGAACATTTGGTACATTTTGAATTAGCAAATGTTTCTTAAATATAAAATAATCTTTAAGCTACTTTCTGATTGTATGTGATAAGCAGGCTATTCTGTGCAAGCTAATTTTGTCTATTATAAATTACTTCAGAATAATGTTGAAAACAATGCCATAAGTGTGAAAGTTGGGTAGGAATATTTAGAAAGATAGGAGCTTTTTGGTTCTTGCATGCTCTTACATTTGCTTTAAGAACTGTTTATACTACTGCAGGATTTTGAGCACGGAGATTATTCTGAGCTCACAGGAACACACAACATCTGTCCGCAGTTCCTTAAACCAAATTCATCTTTTCCTGGGAGCCTAAAGCAAAGGCAGAAGACAAAAGTGTTCTACTGGAAAAAGAGTTGGTTGCTTTCAGAAATTGCAGACAGATGCTAACTTTTAAGCTCTGGAGAATTGTTTGCTTCAAAATCCATATATTACATAATCATACCATTCTGGTTTGGGTTTCTGGAAGGATCTAAGTACAGTAATTATATCACTATTCAGTGCATTTAGAATTCAAGATGAATCCATTTAAAGGAGAGAGCTAGTTTGTTGTATTGATGAAGGCATCAACCTAGAAACCAGAAGACTGTGAGTTCTAGTGTTGCCTTAAACACAAAGCCAGCTGGGTCATCTTGGAACAGTCACACTCTCTCGGCCCTAGGAAGAAGGCAGTGGCAAAGTACTTCTAAAATTGATGCCAAGAATACTGCAGGGATTAGTCCAGTCTAGTTGAGAGTGACTTGAAGCATCTCTCCTAAAATAAACAGGATTTAGGCAAAATGTATTTCTTTGAATAAAAGTTATACGTATTATAAAATAATCTCAAGTATGTTGAATGACACACTGTCACAAGCCAACAATTTAACTACAAATTTAGAATACATTGAAATGCAAGAAGATGGTTTTTATCTTGACACACACACACACACATATACATATACATATATATTGGTTACTGAAGAATCACACTGCTTTTTAATAGTCTTGGTTATACAATACTTTTAATTTTACACCCTATTTGTACACATTCAGTATACATAATATCTTATGTATGATAAATGGTGCTAAACATAATTATCCAATGCATGCTAGAGAATTGGTTGTAATAACTTTCACTTGTTCCATTAAAAAAATAGGAACAAAAAGAGACCACAAAACAGTTGCTTATGTAAAAATATTAGTCGATCATAATAATGCCTGATGGACTCTCGATTTCATTCTTTAGCAGATGGAGGGTTCTTCAATTGCTTTGGCACCCTGTGTAACTGCTTTCACACATTTAGCCATTGTCTGCGAAGCTCTACTTATTGGATCTGCAAAGATAAACATCTGTGTTATCATTCTAAAAGTCTGACTTGGTGGATAGGTTATGTATTAACTGAAATAATTTGGTTTTGAATTAGTATGCTGTATAAAATCCAGCCATTAAAGCTTATAAAAACATGCTATATGGCTTAGTAGAATGTGTGAACTCGGTCACTATGATCAATGATAAACTAATGTTTTTTAGTAGTCAAATATTTCAAGTATAAACAAAACACATTTTGTTTGCTACTTAATTATACAGGGAAATCTGCATACATGAAGGAAGACTATTGTTACCTGTCATATAAAAGTCTTTAACTGTAAGCTGAGGAGGAACAAGAGGATCAGCAAGAAGTTTCTGATTCACTACCTATAATTTAAACAAAGAATGGCAAATATTAGCAAATTTCCATCACACAAAAAATATCTGTATGCTGGATCAAATAAAAAAACCCAAAAGAATTCATTATATACTGGAATGTTTCATAAGATAGACTAAAGAAAAAAAGTATTTTTTTAAAAAACAGCTGTAAGGAAAACCCAGGAGAAAGTGCTGGAAAGAGTACTTATGTAATATATTACAAGCCTTCTAAACCTAACATGTTATTGTACAATACTGGGACACTTTTTATACAAGCTTAAGGCAGAAAAATCAATGATAATTTTTATAATAGTTTATATGAAAAGTAACTATCTTTAAGTTTTTATATCCAAATGGTATAATGGAACATAACTTGGACAATTCATTTGCTTGAATAAAATAGTTGGCTTCTTCTACATCATCATATCGAACCAAATTAGGAGACACTTCTTCTAATCTCCTCCTCACTTGATCAAGATTGTCATAAGGGAGAGTTACACCAGTCAGCTAAAAGAGAAAGAGAAAGAAACAAACTCAAGATCCAATGTGGATATATTACTTTTTGTTGAGATCTATATTTGCACCAATACATCCCCAAAATTATATATACTGCATTCAGAAAGTATTCAGACCCCCTTCACTTTTGTCAATTTTGTTATGCTGCAGACTGATTCTACAGTTGTTGGAATTCATTTTTTTCTCATTAATCTACACTCAGCACCCCATAATGAGAAAGTGAAAACAGAATTTTAGAAATGTCTATAAATTTATTAAAAAGAAAAAAAACTGAAATATCACATTGGCATAAGTACTCAGACCCTTCACTTAGTACTTTGTTGAAGCACCTTTGGCAGCAATTACAGCCTCAAGTCTTTTCGGGCATGACGTGACAAGCTTTGCACACCTGGATTTGCCATTCTTCCTTGCAAATCCTCTCAAGCTAGTTTGGATGTTGACCGTCAGTGGACAGCCATTTTCAGGTCCCTCCAGAGATGTTCAATAGGGTTCAAGTCAAGCTGGCTACTCTAGGACATTCACAGAGTTGTCCCTAAGCCACTCCTGTGTTGTCTTGGCTGCATGCTTACGATCATTGTCATGTTAGAAAATGAACCTTTGGCCCAGTCTGAGGTCCTGAGCGCTGTGGATCAGGTTTTCATTGAGGATATTCCTGTACTTTGCTCCATATAACAACAACAACAACAACAACAACAACAACAACAACAACAACAATAATAATAATAATAAAAAGTTGGAAGGGACCTTGGAGGTCATCTAGTTCAATTTCAACAACAATAATAATAATAATAAAAAGTTGGAAGGGACCTTGGAGGTCATCTAGTTCAATTTAGCTTTCCCTCAACCCTGATCAGCCTCCCAGTCCCTGCTGCTAAAAAAACACCCCCACAGCATGATGCTGCCACTACCATGCCTCACTTTTGGGATGATATTGGGCAGATGATGAGCAGTGCCTGGTTTCCTCTAGACATAACATTTAGAATTGAGGCCAAACAGCTCAATCTTGGTTTCATCAGACCAGAGAGTCTTGTTCCTCACAGTGTGAGAATCTTTCAGGTGCTTGTTTGCATATTCCAAGTAGGCTTTCATGTATTTTGTACTGAGGAGAGTCTTACATTTAGCCACTCTACCATAAAGACCAGATCGGTGAAGGGCTGCAGTACTATTGTCCTTCTGGAACTGTGTCCCATCTCCACACAAGGTATCTGGAGCTCAGTCAGAGTGACCATCGGCTTCTTGGTCACATCTCTTACTAAGACCCTTCTTCCCCAATTGCTCAGTTTGATCGGGCAACCAGCTTTTGGAAGAGTCCTAGTTATGCCAAACCTCTTCCATTTGAGAATTATGGAGGCCACTGTGCTCTTAGGAACCTTCAGTGCAGCAAAAAAAATATTGTAGCCTTCATCAGATCTGTGCATTGCACAAATCCTGTCTCTGAGCTCTACAGGCAGTTCCTTTGACCTCATGGCTTTTGCTCTGCTGCAATCTGCATTGTCAGATGTGAGGCCTTCTACAGAGAGGTGTGTACCTTTCCAAATCATATCCAATCAATGTAATTTACCACAGGTTGACTCCAATCAAAGTGTAGAAACATGTAAGCAACAATCAAGAGAAATAGGAGGACCTGAGCTAAATTTCAAGTGTTGTTGCAAAGGGTCTGAATACTTATGCCAATGTGATATTTCAGTTTTTCCTTTTTAATAAATTTACAGTCATTTCTAAACTTTTGTTTTCACTTTGTTATATTATGAGGTACTGAGAAAAAATTGAATTTCAACAACTGTGGAATCAGGCTGCAGCATAACAAAATTGACAAAAGTGAAGGGGGTCTGCATACTTTCTGAATGCACTGTAATTTCAGAAGTTGCAGCTGTAGCCATGCGGATTAACAATTTAAGATTACTGTATTTTGCAATTTAATAAGGTAGCAAATATATTTCTTATGAATGGCACAAGAGATGTAAAAAAGCAAACTTGCTATCTTTGCTATTGATAGTGTCACAAAAATATTTTTTAGAATATTTGGCCTAAAAATATAATAGTATCCATTCAACATGAAACAATTTTAACTCAATATAATAAAGCAAAATACATAGATTATACCCACCATTTTTCTATAGAATCCTTTGTCAAAATGCACATTTATTGCCCAATCTCTACAAGCTTTTAAATACGAATTAACAATTTTCACATTCAAATCTCTCAGCTCCAGAAAATTCAGTCACTACAGACATATGATTTATATTACTATGATCTTTCTGTGCATTTTGTGATCAATTACTTTTCAAAGACTGGCTAAATTAGAAAGTTCATGATTTCAACTTCTAAATACAACCAACTCATTTTGTCAAGTATTAATTCAATCTCTTGGGAAATATTCAGTGATTAGGGCATTTACAGTACCTCAGAGAGTGCCCTAATAATTTTCCAGTCCTCTCTTGCCATGCCAGGTGGTGTCACTGCTACTCTGGTTTGCTGAGCTCTGCCTTCGGTATTGACATAGGTTGCAGTCTTTTCTGTATAAGCTGCTCCTGGAAGAATTACGTCAGCCATAGAAGCTCCAATATCACCATGGTGACCTGAAAAGGATTGCAGTGCCAGTGGGGTTACTTTTTATTTCTGACTGAACTTTATATTAGGCTTTGTAATTTTGCAACCCACTTATTTATTTAGCTACAACCTTTCTGTTAACACAAGTATTGCAAAGTTTGAGTGGTTCCTTTCAGACACCACTTTTGAAATAGAAGTCTTTAATATTTAATTATTACTTAATATTAAATGTACATTATGCATCCACATAAAAATGAATCCAAATAATTCATGCAACAAATCTCTAGTTTCACAGATTTCCAACGGCTCTATTTATTCTAAATTCATGCTACACAGTATACTATTTATCCAGATATACAGTACTTTGGATAGCAGCTTTTCAACTAACCAATTTTATTAAGGCTTAAGCTTTTGTGAGCTTCAGTTCACTCCATCAGATGCATTAGAGTGGCTACACTGACACAGGAATTAAATTGGAGTGAGGAAGTAGGAAAGGAAGTACATATTGGCTATGCAGATTACTGTATATGTGAGACAGGTGCATTTCAAAACATTTGTAAGCCAAAAAGGTGCAACCAGACTCCTGTTTTTTTCTCTATCACAGATTAACACAGCTGTTGCAGTTTATATATGCTATTGGCTATAAACTGCACACTTATGGATTAGATCTACATGATTTGTTGATATTATATATAGTATGGGACTTTTAGTTTCTATTGAGACTTTACAATTAATTTTAGTATGTTTTTTATTTATGTTTCAAATTTCTGAACTGCCCATCTCCCTCAAAGAGGGATTCTGGGTGTTGTACAATAAAACATCAAAATATAAAAATATATAATTAGTGGACTTGGTTTGGTTTGCAGGCTTGCTTAGGTTTACAGACTCTAGTTGGGCTTTTTTCCTCCTGATTTTTGAACTCTGCCTCTCAGTGGTCATGCATGCTTGATTTCTGTTCCTTTTTTAATAAAATAAATAAATCCTCTCCAATTAAAGAGAGAGAGGGGCTGTTTAACCCTCCTTCCCAGGTAGTAACAAAACTCTGGATCCCAGGAGGAAAAAATGCCTGCTCACTCTAGATAGTGAATTCACTCTTCCATATACCACATAATGAACAAAATTTGCAATTGCAATGTAAATTTATGCTGGACACAATTGTGCATGCCAGAAGGAGCTAAAGATTAAAATTAAAGGGGAAGAGTACTTGATTTACTAAGTTGATTTCACTTGATTTAATACAAGATGAAGCAAAATATTTTAACATTGGACATATTGAAGGATATTTTAAAGAATGGATCCAGATGTTAATTTTAAGAGTGTCTGCCTTTATAGATATGCTGTGTTTCAAAAATGATATGAAAAAGAAACAAGTTTTAACTCAACAAGATTGAGAGTGAACTTTAAGTGAATTTAAAAATGACAGGCTACAAGAATGGTATGGAAAAAGATGCTAAAGAAATCAAGTTCTATGACATTGATGGCACTAAAAATCAAGATTGTTAAAAGTAAAAAGAAAGTATACAAAACTGGTTTATTTGATCAAGGTTAAAACAGATATGTTATCTCTAGTAACCTTTCATTAACTTTTGCTGATCAGGACTGAAGAGGTTTTAAAGATTTGTTTATAGATAAGCCATAAAAGAGATCATTTATTGATATTTTTAAAAAGGTGATAAGTTACTAAAATTATTTATAGTGATGAAAGGGGAAGTCATTTCTTGATATGTTTCTTTTACTATATTATATTTTTTCTTCTATCTTTTCTGCACTTTTTGTTTTTTCCTTTTAAGTAGTAGTTTTTCTTTTTAATTCTAACATTTAAAATTCTATAAGAATAATAATAAAAGTTATGCATGTAGCCCTTTCAATTTATTTTCTTGCCAGAATTAATTGGTCACTTTGGCATGACAAGTTGTCTCTGTATGCAAATACTCTAGCAATTCAGGTAAAGGAAATAGTTTAATAAATGTTACAATAGACATGTCCACAGTTCCTGGATTACTTTCAGTAATAATTTAGTTTCCTTTAGCAGCTAGTTGGCTTAAACTTTATTAGTTCTGAACAAAACAGCCCTGCTTTCATTGGGATGAAACAAACAGAACAACATTTAAACAACACAAGTGTTCTGACCACAGTAAACACTCAGGACCACCTGACATTCCTGCTTTTCATATTAGGGCCATGAGAGCAGGTGGGTCCATAATTAGTATCAATTACTACCCGTACTACAAAAAATGGGTTGAATGGATGATTTTGAAAAGTTTTGAAAACATTAAAATAAAATTAGAATAAAAATAAACTAAAATTAGTGTAAACAATAAGGATATAGATCTGCAGGTATCTACAGTAGTGAAAAATCTGTTTAGTGTCTCTTATCAAAAACATTCTCTGAACAAAGAGTACAGGCAAAAGTAGTCACATAAATAGCAAATCTCAACAAATTAATCCAGATTAACAGAGAATCTTTGCATGTCATACTGAAGCTCAATATCCCACCAAAGTCTAACAAGCCAACCCACATCAACATTATATTAGTGGTCTTTGTGTTATACATTTACTCAGCTTCAGTAGTATCTCTTTACATAGCAGTAGTGCATACATAAACCTTGCAATATCTGCCTGGAAATTTACAATAATAAAAGTATGTCCTTCCTAGCTGTTATTGTACAGGAGTTATAAATTCCCATAGCAAAGTATTAAACAAAACAAGGGATAAAACAAAAACAAAATCAAAATCAGTAGCAACTTACCGGGCTCACAGCCTCAAGCAGATGTCTTTTTCTCACTCATCGGTTTTAAACCAAAAGCAGAAGTGACATGACTGATCTCTACTGTTGTACTACTGTAGTATAATTGCTTTTTGTAAAAAAAAGTATGTACCAGGTTTTTTTTTAAAAAAAAGAATTACCAATCAAAATCCAACTATCATACTTATAACAGTCAGAACCCTCAAAATGTTGCCACTGAAACAAGTTTTCAAAACAGAACTTTTGAAATTTACATTGTTTCATTCAAAACAATAATTTGTATGTGTTTATCATCCATAGTAGTTTTGGATTGCATGTCAGACACATATTTAGTTTATTGCTAAGTCAAATGCAAAGTAAAGAACTGCAGTGATGTTACTTACCCTGATAAATGATAAGGCAATTCTTAGGCAAATCTTGTCGGGTTATACAACCTGCATCAGCCCCTAAGAGATACAGCGCTTTAGGAGGGTTCTTCCTGATTGCATCTACTCCTGGTTTGTAACCTAAGTCAAGAGCAGCTACTTGGCTTGCCACTCTGTAGAGGAAGAGATTATTGTTTCAGCCAGAGTTCTCAGACTTGAAAGACTGATAAAACCCCAAACCTTTGACCCTTGACTATAAGGTGTGCATATTTTTGAACAATTTCCTATTTTGTAGAACCATGTATTGCTGAAAAGAATAAAGCTTCCTATATCTGGTTAGCTTTACTCTTTGGCAAAAGCATTTTGGAAAAGGACCCAGCAAAATGAGTTAATGGAAACTTTAAGTCTTTCCTTTACCACTGAGTATATCTTCTCTCAAAATAGATTTTTGTATCTCAAAAATTTTGAAATGTATGGATTACTTGTTCAGATCCATAGCCGTGAAATATCCTAAAAGCTACAAAGACAAAGCTTACTCTAATTACATTATCTACTTTCCAGACTCTGGATTTTAATATATAAAAATGCATATCAAACATGTAATTTAGAAGTGCAGGGAGAGAAAGTTTTAATATAAAAAGAATCCTTACATGTAGAGTTCAATCATCTTCAATTCTGAAAAAAAATGTTCATGTCATTCTGAATGTATTCAAGTGTATTATTCGGCATTTGAGCTAAGCCCCTTTCTAAATATCAAAATACTGTAATTTATTCAAACCAGTGGGAAATCAGTAATTTTAATAATCTGTTCATTTTTAAACATTTTATAATTCAGCCAGATGGTTGTAGTTAACAAGGAAGTCCTGACCCAGTGCCTAGAGACTCAGAATCTAGATCAGGGGCGTCAAACTTGCAATGTTATGTGATGTGTGGTGACTTTTTTTCCATTGCTGGCAATGGGGTGGGCGTGGTTTTGCCAGGACACATCTGGCCCGTGGGCCGGCAGTTTGACACCCCTGGTCTAGATGAAACAGAATAGGCTCAAAAAGAACCCTATTAAACAGAGCTATTATTTGTTTAGAAGCCATTTGGCTCCAGGGTAATTGTCAGCCTTTTGTCCAGAGAAGCAGCAGATCCAGAAGTACTAGTTTTATCTTTATTGAAAGGTTCCCTTTACAAAATCTTGCAAGTCTGAAAATACATCATAGTGACATTAATATTATAGGAATTGCATTGGTTGTTGTTTTGCTTCCAGGCTGAAGACTGGGTCCTTGTTACCTTTGAGAACATACCCAGGATGAGCTTGATCACAGTCTTGTTCCCCTGAAATTGAGACTGTCCTATTATCTTTTAGGAAATCAGTTGCAATCATCATGCCTTTTCACAGAGCTTTCAGAGAAGAAAGCACTATAAGAGATTATCAGTATTTTAACAGGGAGCTGTTGGCTTGGTCATATAAGCTGTTATGGTTTTTATTGGTAACTCCTTTTATTGAAATTTGTATTGTTTTAGAGTTGTAAACCACTTGGGTAAGCAATATAAAAATAATTGTACATAAACAACTTCATGGTAGAAATTTTTATGACTCTAGTATAAGAGATAGAAATCAAAATAGAAAATGACAAACCTATGAAGAATGTTCATAATTTTCCAGTCAGCATCTATTCCACTTTTTGCCCTAATATTCTGTGTAATAGTAGAAATGGCTGAATGAATAGCTGCTCCATCATCACGTTGCAGTGCTGCACTGCCCATCACCACCATTGGCTTTTTTGCCTGGTTCAGGACCTTTTATAAATGAGACATGAGAGTGAAAATTAACTCCATAGTTAAGACATTGTAATTTTGTAAGAAAAGTTAGAGACAAAACCAGAGTTTATTATTTAAAGTACCTTGCTGAATGGATGGTTCTCAGAAGCAATGTCTAATAATATCTGTGGGGAATCTCCCAGATGCTCATAAGTGTAGGTTAAATCAACTGGACTGCCCACAAGAGCAACTTTTAGCTCATTATGTAGCCAGCTGAAAGAGAAGTAAGCACAAAAATACGTAAGGTCTTCTAATATTTTGTTATCCCCAAAATAAGCTAGTTTGATTTTTGGGGATGGGCATAATATAAGCCCTACCCCAAAAATAAGCCCTAGTTTTGGGGTGAGGCACATGCCTAAAAGGTAGGACAGTGGTGGGGGGAGTGGAGCTATCCCATGTGCCCCAGACCCACTTACTGTTGCAGTCAGGCCTCCCATGCCCGACACCTGCCTCACCTCGCCGGCCCACTTCTGCAGCCGCTCCCCACCGCTCGCAGGCGTGCGTCGCCCCTGGCCTCCATTTCGCCATCAGAGGCCTTCAGGAAATGACTCTGCAGCTGAGAACAGAGCTCTGGATTGAGCTGGATCTCCATTCTCCGCTGCAGAAGCATTTCCTGAAGGCCCCTGATGGCGAAATGGAGGCCGGGGGCAACGCACATGGACAGTGGCGAGCAGCCTCAGAAGAAGTGGGCAGGATGGGGGGGGCTATCGGTATTGCCATGAGGTGAGACTGTGGAAAACACATCCCCCGAAAATAAGACCTGGTGCTCTTTTGGAGGCAAAAAAAAAAAAAGCCAAGATCTTATTTTCAGGAAAACACGGTATATAGGCAAGTTGCATGGGATGAGTTTATTTTTGTACTTTTCTGCCTAGCTCTATCTACAGAAGTTTCTGAATTCCTTCTAAGCAGCAGACAGCCTAGGAATTCGGGGAGCACATTTCATAATTCAGCATTATTCTTCTCCCAAAAAGAAAACTAAGTGGCACATGCAGAAACAAGTGGACTTTCAGATAGGGGTTCATTCCTTTTGCAATAAGTGACTGTGATAATAGCATTTTATCTTTGAAATATACCTATTTGCATCCTTCTGTATTTAAAAAAAAAGGCCCTTTAGTATTACAGGCTTAAGAGATACTGTTCATCAGCACAGCTGCCTTCAGTCTAGCCACCTTCCAGATGTGTCTTAGAATTGTCTGGCTATAACTCCATGGTTAAGACTTCTAGAAACCAAACATCTGGAAGGCAGGTAGTTTGGGAAAACTGCATTATAAAAGAAGGATAAAATCCCCATTATATGTCAAAATCTTATGTCAGCTACTGACATACTGGCAAACACAATTAGCTTCCATACTAGATGTGGTCAAGCAGGAGGTTGGACTAGAATCTATAGAATTATTTTCAGCTCTGATTCTATGATGTTTATGTTCAAGATAAAAATGATAAAAAAAACAATGTCTGGTCTCTTACAATGTACCTCCTAATCCCCAGAAAGAAAATCAATTTCACTACATGTTAACAAACCTTTTTCTAATTCTTGCATTGAATAATGGTGCCTCAAAGCGTGGATTGGTGCCAACCAGAAGTAGGAAATCTGCCTCTTCTACTCCTGCAATCTTGGTATTAAGTAAGTAATTAGATCGCAGGTCTGTTCTATAATAGAATGCACAAACAATCATAACAAATATAATTGCGATATGGCACTCCATAGGAATAGTAATAAGACTTATACACTGCTCCATAGTGCTTTACAGAGGTTTACAAATGTCAGCATATTGCCCCCAACAATCTGGGTTTTCATTTTACCACAGAAGGATGGAAAGCTCAGTCAACCTCGAGCCCCATCAGGATCGAACTCCAGGCTGTGGGCAGAGTTAGCCTGCAATATTGCATACAACCATTGTGCCACTAGGACTCAAAAACTCCTTTGATACTTAAAAGTATCACTTATGAACTCTATATCTGGACAGTACCAATCTTATTTTTTTCTTTATTTTATCAGCCAGTAAACAACAAGAAGCATGTTTACTTTTTTCTAGAAAAAAAGTTTTTCATTTTTTAAAATATGCTTCCAATTATGAACTATTAATTTAATGCTTGATGACCATTTAGACCATTTAGAACCCTTTAAGGATAAGGGCTGGAGGAACCTACATGAATTTCATTTTCTGTCCAAATTTCTAATCTTGCCATGTTCTCTCAAGATATTCTATTACCATTTCTTTTACTGGGTTCAGTCTAGTTAAAATCTCTTACCCAGCTCCTGCAGTGGGGAAAACCTCTTCAGTACATATATTATCAGAGTTAATTCTATTCAGGAAGTCTTTGAGCGATACTAGTGCTTCTGCATCCACTAATCCTCCTGCAATTGCAGCTACTTCATTACCTTGACTCCCCTGAAGCTGCAGCAGGAAACAAAATGCCACAAAACTATCATTAGGTCTCCAATGTCTGTTTTTTTAAAAAAAGAGCAATCTTTTTAGATATTATTTTTCCTAAGAACTCAGGAAAACAAAATAATTTTCATAAAACAGAGATATCATACAGTTGCAAAGCTTCACCTGTGCAGTGATAAATATAAATTTGTTCTGAGATCTGAGAAAAAAGGAATTTTTACATCTATGATGCATACTACTTTTATATTACCCTTTTAACCACAAGACATAATACAAATGATTTTTAAAGCCCTACATGGCATTGGGCCAGGTTATTTAAGGGACTGCCTCTTCTCAATTTCATCTATCAGTCCCAATAGTTTCAGCGGAAGGAGCATGTTACTGGTTCCATTGGCCAAAGAGCTTCACTTGATGGGATCAAGAAAAAGAAAAAGAGCCTTTTTTCTGCCATGGCACCTACCTTCTGGAACATCAGTTTCCCCCCACCCCAAAAAACATAGTGAGATTGGTCCCAACCTTGCTGGTCTTCTGGAAGGCCCACAAAACGTGGATGCGCCATTGGGCTTGGGGATCCCAAAGAAGTGTGGAACCTGTTAAATAGTTACACTGTATGTAGCCAGATTGCTTATTATTGTATTTTTAATGTAGCTTTTAATTATTATGAATGGTAGAAGACTATGATTGTTACTTGTGTTTTCAAACTGCATATGCCTCCCAAAATCACGTGCAAGTAGTCATATGAATTAAATAAACAAGCTTCTTGTTTTTGAAACGTGGAAAGTTGCATTCCTCAAAGTATAAGAATTCATAAGTAAATGTATATCAAATTTAGAAGTAGCATTAAATAGTCTGTCAAGTCCATAAGCTTACCGCAGTTGCTACATAACTCAAGGCTTCTTCCCAAGATACATAAGTGAACAGCCCTTCTTCATTTTTTATCATTGGCTCAATAAGTCGCTGACGTTTCAGGCCATCATAAGCAAATCTGAAAAGCAAAGATAAAATTGATTATAGAAGCAACTGAAGCTGAAATACACATCTACCAATCCCACTGTTAACTTTTAATTTTTTTTCAGCACAAAATTTACTTTTCCATAATATCAATAAATGACCACATCTTGGACCAGTTGGTGATAATGAGGGGGCAATACTATACCTACTTTTAAATAGTGCTCAGAAATTGGTGCGAGAAACATATGTACTGAAACTAACTGAGAATGAAATAAATAAATAAAATTCAACATTCAAAGAGGCAATATCTTATCAAGTTCTACACAGTGGAATTTCAAAAAAAGGAATTAAAAGATAGAGGCAAGTTTTCTCTTCCAAATATCACATACAGCAAGCTGTGTGTCAGGGTTAGCAGAATGGATTAAATCCCTGAATAGCAGAATGTCAATATGGGAAGGAGCTGGCCCAGATAATCAGCTCCACAGATACTTATGATACAGGGACACAAACGAGGATATAAACTTAAAAGGACATATAAGATGAAGCTTGATAAAAGTATGGAACTCTATTAAAAAAATAATCAGCCCATCACTTTCAATCTTACAGCAATAACTGCTGGAAATGCCAAGAAACAGAAGGAACATTCTATGATACATGGTGAACATGTAAAGTATTGGAAAGTTATAAGTAGCTTGGTCAGGAAATTTTAGGGATCAAATTCAAAATGAAATTACATTTTTAATTTTTATTAGGTACAGTGCAAGAACACATTAAAATATAATAATTTATTAAGATACATCTTCACAGCTACAAGGATAATGTTTGCACAACTCTGGGAAAAAACATAGTAGAATTTCAGCAATATTTGAGTACTTAAACTTGGAGAATATATAGCAATGGAGAAACTAACAGTATAGACATAAAAAGTTTAATTAAGTTCAAATAGGGATGGCTTCCATATTCAGCAAGGTAAAAAGAAACATTTAAAACATGTTTTTATACCTTATGCCAAAAAGTACTGCAAATTCGTTGAAGCACAAAGGGGGAAGTCAGTATTAGCCTATATTTTGGGGGAGGGTCTCCTTTTTCTTTTTTAATATTTATAGTTAATATTTAATAGTGGGGATAATTTTATAGTATTAAAACAATGTAATATACTTAATACCTTTTATCAATATTATAGTAGTTAATAATTGAATAACTTCAGTAATTATTTGTTCATCCATAGGTAATATCTGTTTTTAAATATGTATTTCTTTTAAGTGAAATAAAAGGATTAAACTAAGAGTAAAGCATAACAATACAGGTGGTCCTCAACTTATAGGCATTTGTTTAATGACTGTTCAAAGTCACAATGGCACTGAAAAAGTATCTTACATTTTTTACACTTATGACCATTGCAGCATCTACATAGTTATATAATCAAATTTCAGATGCTTAGCAACTGGCATGTATTTATGATGGTTGCAGTGTCCCGAGATCATATAATCACCTTTTATGACCTTCTGACAAGTAAAGTCAGTGGGGAAGCCAGATTCACTGAACAACTGTGTTACTAACTTAACAACTGCAGTGATTCACTTAAAACTGTGACAAGGAAGGTTATAAACTGGGGCAAAACTCACTTAACAACTGTTTTGCTTACCAATGGAAAGTTTGGTTTCAAGTGTTATAAGTTGAGGACTACCTATACAACAAGCAGAGTACTGTTGATGTACTTTTCAAAAGAGGAAAATAACACATATTTCTATCTATTCTTATGTCTATACCTGTATTAATAAATAAAGCTTACTTCTAAAAAATGGCTCCAAAATCCAAGCAGAGGCCTATAAAGTTAACTGGCATCGTAAAGAAAGTTTTCAGTTAGAAAGTGGAAGACTTGCCTTAGTGAAGAAAATAAAAAGGAACATAAACTCTGGCAAAAGAAATGCAAAGAGACAACGAAGGAGGCCAAATAATAATAATAATGAGTAGTTTTTACCAAAATTCTGAATATAGGTAATAAAAGATTCTTCAAATATATCAGAAGTAGAAATCTAGCCAGGGAAACTATTGGCCCCATGGATGAAAAAGAAATCTAAAGTATGCTAAGAGAGAACAGGAAACTACAGAGAATCTGAAACAATTATTTGCTTCTGCTTTCACAGGAATAAAATAGGGGAAGATCCCCAAGCATGATCTCCTGTTTTCAGAAAGGGAATCAGCTGAACCGAACTCAATAGTGATGAATACAAAACTGCTAAGCCTGAACATCAACAAATTAGCAGGGCCTTATGGCATCCACCCAAGGGTTATTAAGGAACTTAGAAGTTAAGACTGGGGATTATCTAACTAAAATATGCCTCATGTCTCTATGTTCGGCCGCTGTTAAGGGCTGGAAAATGGCCAATGTAATTCCAATTTTTAAGAATGGCTCACAGGGGGATCTAGGAAATACAGGCCTGTCAGCTTCACATTTGTTTGAAGGAAAATATTGAAAGCAGCTATTAAAAATCAAATTATGCAAACATTTGAAGATGCAGGATTGTGACAAATAGTTTTTCCTTTTTAAAAATATTTTAAAGTTTTTCAATAGAATTAAAAACAGTACAAACCTTGAATTAAAGCAGAATAAAAAAAAGTAATTAAGTAAAAAAAAGGGAAGGAAAAGGAAAAGTACTAAAGAAGCGGCTTCCGATCTTCTCAACAGTTGTTATACATATTTTATACTTTATCCTCTCTTTCTAATGTTACATCATAATTTCTTTCTTTCCATAAACTATCATTTCTAATCTTCAAACCCATAAATCACAAGTTCATTTTCCTCTTTTTTCACCAAAAATCCATAAGGGGTTTCCATTCCCTAATATATATAATTATTGATCTCTCTCTCTCTCTCTCTCTCTCTCTCTCTCTCTCTCTCTCTCTCTCTCTCTCTCTCTCTCTCTCTCATCAAATAAGTTAATTTTGCCATCTCTGCTATTTCTGTTATCATCACTAGCAGTTTTTATTCACAAATTAAAAATGCCAGTATAAGCGATAAAGCACCACAAAAAGATAATCTTAAAAATTCTTTTAAATATTTTACAAACAACTCTGTTGATCACAACCAACTCTGAACGATTTCAAAGAAACAGCCATGCATTTTTAAAAATACCTTTATGATCTGAATTATAGAAACCAATTTTTGTATTATTTCCATGCACCCCAGAAAGTATCATTTTAGAAACAGTTCTAAAACACAAACTTCCAGCACATATATAAAAAATAAAACTACATATATATTATGAGATGATAGTGAATTATAAAATATACCTTGTTTTATCAGAGATCCATTCCTCGTTGATATCTTCATGCAATCTTGGCAAAATTCTCATCACTTCTCCAGTTCTTGTGCTTATCACAATATTACTTCCTACTGCATCAAGAATATCAATAGACTCTGTCTTCCTAAAAGAAAGCACACAAACTAGTTAAATAATTGTATTATCAACTTTAATAATCGATCTTAAATCATATGCTTCCATGTTTACAACAACAGTGGTCATGGATTAGCAATATTGCCCATGCCTATCTTGTTTTTCCTTAGAAACTAACAGCCAACAATGGAAACTATTCAAGACATAGCTTTGCACAAGGCTGCCCTCTGTTTCATTACTATCTCAATTCTCCTTCCTTTCTCCTCCCTCTTTCTTCTGGGCTGTATTCTAAGGAAATGGATACATCTTAAGGAAATAGTAAGTGACCACTTCTGGCGGAAGTCTCAGATTTGAAGATCATAATTTTTTAGATTGCTACCGACTCCCCAAGTTAAATGCCTTAGAAAGTTTTCTAAGTGATATTATTAATGTCATCACATGGCATTAAGCATATATTGTTCTCAAAGAACTAATATTGTACAAATTCTTCCAATTTAACAGATGTTGCTTTTCTCAGTTTTAAAAAAATCTCCATAAGAAATTTTTATGTATTAGCTGAGTTTCATTGGGATTTTTACAATTGTCTAAGAAGTTACAAGGTTTAAAGATATCCTTATCTGGCATTTAATAACAGACACTATAAAATGTAATATAATCTTTCAAATATCAGCAAAGATACATGCCTTGTTTCCCAGGGTCGAGCAGTAAAGGCATAAGGCTTGGAGGTAAGGGCACCCACTGGACAAATATCAATCACATTGCCTGATAATTCAGACATAAACATTTTTTCAATGTAAGTGCCAACTTGCATCTCATTTCCTCTTCCTGTGGTTCCTAAATCATCAACTCCTGCAATTTCACTTGCAAATCTGGTAAAGACAAGCATAAACATATAAGGCACAGAAGGTTACCATGGATTGTATCAGTACCAGCTGATTCGATAGCTACATCTACTAGAAAAAGTTCACATTTTTACAGTCATTCATACTCTGCTTACATCCAATCAAAGCCACTATAATGTGCTCTTTGTGATAATGCTTTTAAAAAATATTCAGAAGCTTCAACTGGTATGAAACTTATGAATTTAACTGCCTTCCAAAAACTAAGTAATCAACATAACATCATTTCTATACTAGCTGCATTGATAGTGCTGGGTTTCTAGGCCTAGTTCAGAGTGCTAGTTGTGCATAGGCTTAAGTTATCTACCCACACAAATAGGAATTCTCCAGACTTTATAGCAAGTCTATTATGTAGAAGCAGATTAGGCAATCAGGCTCATATTTAAATGAAGAACAAAGCATATGAGGAAAATGAAGCAAAACTTCAATAATGGGATTTTTCCTCCTCTGTCCAATTTTCTGCACACTAGTTCAACATGAATCTATTCTTGGGAACTGAGATGTAAAATAGAAAACAGTCTTTTTTGTACAATGAAACAATGTTTCCATTGTTTTCTATGGTCAAAACATTTGGAGTTCTTCAAATTTTATTTTGACAAACACGTAACACTTCAATTGTTTTAAGTGTTATGTTGTCAAAATGGAGTTTATTTGAAGTATTGATGGGAAGTTCCAGATGAGAGTCCAGTTTCAACACTGCATTTCATCATGAAGGTCATAAATGTGACGATTGATCACAAAGTTACTTTTTCATCACTGCGAACCATCACTAATCTAAGAAGTTGCTAAATGAGGACTTCTGTATTCGATGATCATCACGTAAGACAGAAATTTATATTTCTTTTTTAGCTGAGGAACCCACTAATTTTTGAGTAGCATGCTAGTAGACAAGCTGCAAAATGTGTGTATGTATAAAAAACTAAGATATATTCATCCAATACTAATAATATGATTACACTTCATATAATCATTTCTCTTTTGCCATAGTAAAAATTACTGTCCTGGTAGCAACCTCTGCAGACGTTCCAAAACTGCATCTAAAGCCCCGGCTGCAGTAGCCCCCTGCAAACCCCTTCTCAGCATTCTATTCACAGCTACTACAGCCTTCCCTGAAATGAGCAGAGCTAAACTTTTTAAAAAATGTATTTGCATTTTGGCATGTTTTAAAAATACAATGTGTATTTTAAGCCTAACACCCCTTTAAAATCCTGAATTTCCTTAAACATGGAAGCAATTTTTTTCTTATTTGGGGAGGAGTTAAGGGTTAGAAAGTCATGATGCTTAAATTCACACATTAAAAAAAAAAATCCCTTGACTTTCAGAGCTGGTCCTAGCCCAAGGCCTGTTATATACAACTCTTTTTTTCTTCTGTGCAAGTGCCACTCAGTTAATAGCCATTCAATCAATACTCCTAGGTAGCAATGCAACATGATGCTATAAGGACATGAGTCAAGAAATGTTGCAAGTGCTACTTGCACTTAGTGTTATATCATTGTTGGCCAATGATTCTAATAATAATAACTGAATATAAAAAAGGATTAGAAACCTCACTATTCATCTGAACAAATGATAAATACTGCCTTCTTAGTCTGATCTGACTTTCCCAAAAACAAGTCTACTTATGCATTTGAATGTCTGTGCCTGGTAAAACACTTTTATAATTTTATTACATATTGATATATGGCTTTCCCCTAATCACAAAGCTTATTATATAATCTGTTGGTGTACACTGCAGTTACCTGATGCAGCGAGTACATTGTATACACCGGGTCATGATAGTTTTTACAAGAGGACCAATATTCTTGTCTTCAACTGCACGTTTGCTTTCCAGAAATCTGCTCCTATCGCTGCCAAACATCATTGACTGATCCTAAAGATAATTAACAAAAGCAAACCAACTCATGTGGCTGAGAAACAGTTTTCTTCAAATAGTATTTTAAGAACATCCTACGGAATACCTGAAGGTCGCACTCCCCTCCTTGATCACAAATGGGACAATCCAGTGGATGGTTAGCCAACAAGAACTCCATTACCCCTTCTCTGTTGTAGATCCATGTTTGAAAACAAAAATGATTTCATTATGATAGTTAATACTAAAACACTGGAAAATTATAGGAAACACAAATCAATTTATTTACTATTGCTAACAACAGTATATCCCCTTCCTCTTAAAAACTGAATTGTCTTTTTTTTAATGGAGAATGAAAAAATGGGAGAGATCCAACTCTCTGAAATTATTCTAATATATTAAGAATATGCAAGGACAGCCCTTCCGTATAAGCAAGCAGAGAATTGCTTGCAGTGAGAGATAGTTTACCTTGCTTTCCTGGACTTCTCAGAATTTGTCAGAATGTTCCAACCCTTCATGACTGGCATGGCACAAGCAGCAACTGGCTGCAAAAATTACAAGATTATTTCATTAATGTATTTGTGAACATACTGTTTATGCTTACATAATATCAGTTAACATACTGGTGCTTTATGGCAAATATCCTGTATAACTCCATTGTGCTATCAGATTTGAGCATTGTTGAACATTCTGGTCACCCGCTCTTCAAAGAGACTTTGTAGAGTCTCAAGAACTTTAAAAACAGCAACCAAAATATTGAAGGAATCTGGTGTGTTTCCTCTCTCACCCAAAATTACAAAAATACAGCACAAAAAGATTTTTAATCGAAGAAAGAATACCAGAATAAAATAGGAAGGACTATTGTAGAGAAACTGGATAGGATTTCTCATTCCCCATAATATAAGAACTGAAGATTGCCTTATAATGGATAGCTATAAATTAAAAAAATGCACAATTTAACAAAATCTGCTGACAAAAAAGCTTTGCAATCAGATATTAAAGGCAAATACTGTATATATGAGAGCAGGTTTATCAGTAGTTATACAATGATTAACCAAAACTGTCACATCAAAAGGCAAAATGCAGGAAAAGCAGGAACAACAAAAGCAGTGACAGCAATGGCTTTTTTGTTTTGTTTATGGCCTTTCTAAAATCATCTGATTTTGGTCAGTAAGAAGCAACCCCAGGGGAATCTACAACACCCTAATGTTCTACAAGTAAAGAAGGCAGGCATTTGGAACTTTGCTACTGGCTTGTTAATTCTAATTACACATTACATGAAAAGTTTTGGTATTCTATATATCTCATAGAATCTTTCTTTACATTATTACAATCATAATAATAAATTAAAGGCCCATTACAACTTTGAAGTAATTTAAACAAACATGTAGGATTACATTTTTGTAAATACATTCCAGAAAAACTCAACATTTAACATAATATCAGAAAGCAACTGCTAGTAACAGATATATCAAAAATTCTGTATCTCAAACTTTTTGAACACATCAATTTCAAGAAAATATATTTATATAAATACCTTGGGGGCTTTCTCTATCTCCACAAGACACATCCTGCAATTTCCAGCCACAGATAATCTGTCATGATAGCAAAAGCGAGGAATTTGCATTCCAACCTTTTCACAGGCCTAGAGATGAAACAAAATGAGAGAATGTTAAGGTACAAGTTGTATGTTTTTCTACAAAAAACTACATTCCTAAACCTAGTTTTTTTCTTTGCTTTCAGTTTTTGCAGTTGGCTTGCAATATTAAACTCAATCTTATAATAATAGTAATAGTAATAATAATAATAATGATGACTGTGCGATGATCCATAATAATAAAGTTGGAAGGGACCTTGGAGGTCATCTAGTCCAACCCCCTGCTCAGGTAGAAAACCCTATACCATTTCAGTCTCTTCTTAAAAATTTCCAGTGTTGGAGCGTTCACCGCTTCTGGAGGCAGGTTATTCCACTGGTTAATCGTTCTAACTGTCAGGAAGTTTCTCCTTAGTTCTACGTTGCTTCTGATTAGTTTCCATCCGTTGCTTCTTGTCCTGCCTTCAGGTGCCTTGGAAAATACCTTCACTCCCTCTTCTTAGAGAAAAAGTTACAGTAGACACTCTAACCAGAGGTGTCAAACTGCCACCCTGTGGGCCGGACACATCACGCGGAAGCCGCTCCACCCCATTGCCGGCAATGGCAAAACTGTCCCGATACGTTGCACAATGTCACGTGACGTTGCGATTTTGACATGTCTGCTCTAAACTTTAGAATGTATCTTCCAGACCAGAGTAGGCTTTTATACTGCTGTCCTCACATTAGAAGTTTATATTAATATCAAATAATTGTCAAATGATTCAAACTGCAATTTGTGCAAAAAGGCAGAAGAAATAGTACATAATATACTTAGCTTATGCAAGATTGCAAACTGATTACAAACAACATAACACAGTTGCCAAATGATTCCCTGGAACATCTGTCAAAATTATCATGTGCCAGTAACGAAAAAATTGGGAATACAGAGTTGAAAAAGTAGTTGAAAATGAGCAAGTTAAAATACTGTGGGATTTCTGAATATAAACTAATAAAGTCTCAGCTAACATCCCACCAGTTTTATCTGTGGTTGAAAAAAAGAAAGTGTGGATAATTCATGTAGCAATACCAGGAGATATTGGAGAAGATCACAAAGTATCAAGATCTGAAAACTTAAGTTGAAATATTACAGGATAAATTGGCCATGGTGGTCCCAGTGATTATCTATACACTGGGTACCATACCAAAAAATCTTGGACGGCACTTTAAAAATCTGCACTTTAACAAAATTTCCATTGCCTTTTGTCAACTACAAAAGGCACACTACTTGGTTTTGACATATACTACACTGACACATTATGACATCCTAGGTTCTTGAGAAGAACTTGATGCATATAAAGATCCATACCATCTAAAAAATTGTGACAAAACAAAAATAAAAACTAAAGAACAATTGAAAACAAAATTTGTAAGAAGTTTAGAGGAAGAATACTATAGGGGACAAAGAAAAAGAGAAACTAGTATGTTAAAAATAAAATATAATAGCAACTCAGCTTGTATGTCAGCAGCAACAGGTTTAGTTTTGAACATCAAAAACTCAAAATACATGCAGAAAAAAGTCATTACTATTTCCATTCATAGATATATATATGAAAAATGTTGAAGTTGAAGTTAATTAACAAACATTTTTACTTCTAATAATTCTCTATATTGAGAAATACTAATTTTTGAATAAGCCTATACATTTAAAATTACAAAATATGTGATCACTATACAATTAAGTTTATTCTCTAATACAAGTTAGTTTAAAATGATGTGCCAATTAATATGCACATTAAATCATAAATCATAATTTATCAATCATTCAATATGGTAAAAGTGAACCAAGAACTCACTTCTTATGTTAGCACAATGTGTAAATCCAGCAACATCAAACCATTGTTTGAATCACAAGGACCAAGTTTTAAAGTAATAGATATTCTTTCCTATGTGCCTTCCAATAATTATACCATATATTACATTTCATTAATATAAAGCTACACAGGGGTTTGGAATAATCAAATGACATAAATAAAAACCTCTTTGAAATATGCTTGGGAAATACTGGTTGATGATCTAGAGATATTATAAACAAGCATATTTACTTTGTACTAAATTATCTATCTAATTAAATACAGTTTAACATAACTTTATTGAAAGACCAGAGGGTAGCCCAAAAATAATTGTGCAGTACCGCGTAATTTTTCCCAGTAGATTAATATGGATTAATAACTTATGCAGAGATACTCCTAAATGATGCTAAGAGAAAATAAGTAAGTAAAAACTACTAATTCCAGATTTATAATACCATCTGTTAGGATGTTAGGAGCCCCACATCTTTTTTTAAAAGGCTATAGTTTTTCAAGGTAATTACAGTAAAATAACACTTAACATTTTCCTCCTTTATAATAAAAATGAAGGGTGAGAGTCACAGTTACCTAGGCATAATTAGTTCCTGAAAATGGAACAACTTAGAGAAAGAGAAAGAGTGTTTCCTTGATATCATGTACTTATTGCTTTTCATTTAAAAATAATTTTAGTTTTCTCTTAGTAAGAAGCTTAAGGTATAAAATACAACCTTACCTAAAACCTTTTTAAGTTATGGAATATTTGAAAGACAGCCCACTTAAGAGCAAAAGGCAAGAACTGTCAATGTTTGGAAGGTAAGCAGGGGGTAAGCTAGATGGGGACTACAGAAAATATCTCATTGGAAAGTTGGGAAACATCCTGAAAAAAGCAACTCTTCTATACTTTTGGCAAAATACCATTTCCATACTGTGCTATTAACAATAAAAAAATGAAATGATGTCCACATCATCAAGAACCAAGCACAGCTTAAAGTTTTAATTTTAACTACTTTAATAAAATGGACCACTATAAAAGAACATTAATTTTTAACTGAATCATTAACTTTCATTCTGCACTAATTTGAAACAAGATAATCCTATGAACAATGCAAAATAACATACTAACAGCTACATCAGCACATTTTGTACTTGAAACAAACTGATTGCTACATTTAAATTTTGTTTTCAGCTTCTATCATATAGGCTAATACTTTCAATCTGGAAGAGCCTTGGTGCCTCGGACACAAGTACAAAAAAAATTGTTTATAAACATATGACGAAGGATTTCAGTTGGGTGTGCCATAAACAGAAACAATATCTCAACAGAGCAAAAGTAAATGATACTATATAAAAGAAATAGTGGGAAAACATTTTCACTTCTCCAGCACATTTCATCAGCGATCTGAAGCTGGTGGTCCTTGAGCAAAGAGATTATAATGATGAAATACCTGGGCTGAAATTTACCAGGAGATTCAACCTTATTTTTCACCACTAACTGCCTGGTGGGAAGGATCCCTGAGTGGAAAAAGGCAAAGACCCCCTATAGAGGCTTGATCACTCAGGCTCTTCCCCCTTGCCCACCTCTCGCCAGGCCATTTTTCACTAACTCTCCCCATGGGAAAGTTCCTGTAAGTTTGTTTTTAAGGAAAATATATTGCCCTTCTTTTAAATTGTTTCAATTGTTTGTAAACTGTTTTGAAAGGACTGTTATCCTAAAAATATGTAATTGTAATAAATAATATTGTAATATAAATAATTGTAATGAATAAATCTATTTCATAGACAAAAGGTTCTTATCATGTTACATGTGTTAATTGAGCATTTCAAAAGAGTCTTTCTTATGCTCAACTGTTGTAAAACATAACAATCTATTATCTCCTTAATCTTAATTTATTTAATTTTTTTCTCTCTCCCTGTTTAATATCGTCTCCTCTCACTCTTCCTTCTCACCCAATTATAAGATCGAGAGGCAGTTTGGTGTAGGTTTTAAGATGTTCGCCCAGAAACCAGGAGACTGTGAATTCTAGTCCCACCTGAGAGAAGAAAACTGATGGGTGACTTTGGACTAATCACTCTCTTTCACTCCAACTCATCTCAGGGAGTTTTTATGGGGAAAAGAGGAGGAGGATGGAGTACTGGTATGTTTGCCATCCAAACCTATAACCGTGGGATAATATTTCATCACTGCTAGCCAACTGATGCAAAGCTAGTTCGCCCACTGTAGTATACCATGGATAGCACACTTGCATGAACAAAATGAACTAGTCATCAGAGACTGCCAGACTTCTGTGGTAAAAAAGCATTGTAGACTTCCCTGGCTATATACATCAAACACTAAAAAAACAACAAGTATTTCATCAATCTGGAGAGGTGGACTGTAATACACCAAAGATTGGTATCACAAATCTTGATAAGGATTGTGTGTGCAACATTTAAAAGAATGGAAAATAAACAATACTAATATTTACATAGAGTTATGCACAGCATAAATTCATTCTACCTGAAGTACTGTGGTTCCTGGAGGCACCAAAATAGAATGACCATCAACAAAAACTTCTATCAGATTGCTAGCTGCTGTAGAAGTGGTGCGCGCTTGAATAAAACAAAATTAGATAATTATTTAATGCAGTAAGTAATAACCCATTTCTTCTTTTAAGTATGTGTTATTATGTATCGTTTATTTTATTTCAATAAATTTATATTTAAAAAGCAGCATCTCTAAGTGACTAACCACTTTTTAAAGTCACAATAAAAACCATAACCATAGCAGACATCTAATTGTCACTTACCCCAACCTCCTGAGTTTCATATCTGAGACAATAGCCTTGTTTTTACAGCTTTAAAACTCTGAAATACTAGCATAGTTAGTGCCAGTAGATCTCAGTGTAAGGGGAATGATGTACCATAGGGCAGATACTGTAACAGAAAAGACTTACTTTGGGGGATTCACTAGACAACAGTTCCTGATCAATGGGACCCAGAGTATGCCCTTTCAGTCTGACTTAATGGGATGAGTAGAGATGAGATATCTTGGTCCCATATCTATCTGGGCTTTATAGGTAATAATCAGTACTCTTAATTGCACCCAGAAGCAAATTGAGACCCAGTGCAGTTCACAAAGATGTGACATTGGCATAATGAGATATACCCATAATTGTCTGTGCTGCCACATTCTAGACCAATTGAAGCTTCCAGATGATTTTCAAAGTCACTTCTTGTATAGAGTAATCCTCTCAGGAGGCGACCAAGTTATAAGTGATTGTGAGCACTGCCTCCTGATTCAGGAAAAATTGGCACACAACTTGTAACTGCAAAAACCTCCTGGAAAATGCCACTGTTCCAAAATTAAAGCTGGAAAATCACTGGATCCATGGGACCCTAAAACCTAGAGCTACTCAGTCTTGCTAGGATTGAATTAAAATGTGTTCCTCTCCATCCAGGTTTTATAGCTTTTAGACACTGAGACCTATAGTTTCCATATACTCCAGCATTATCTCTTGGTTGACCCATGGCAGAGATGTAAAGCTGGGTATTATCAACATCACATCTGGTTACCTGTGAGCAATGCAGCTGAAAGCCAAAGGAAGATGACTTTGATGAAGATTCATGAGCTCCAGTACCAAAGTGACAAGGGGGAAAAATTTCTTAAGTCCACAACAGACAGATAGCATTTGTAAGCTACTCAAATAGACACCTTTCCTAATTCACGGGATTGTAAGAAAGAAGAAGTACAGCACAGATAGACTTGCAAAATTTTGTCAATCCTAATAAAAATAGTTTTAATCTTCTTATGGAATTGATTTCTTTGTCTGGTCTACATGGGACTAATACCATCAGAGTATCTTGGATAACCATAACTACTCCATCACACATGCCGTGGGATCTTGGCTGATGCTACACTCAAAGTCCACATATGCATGTTTCCAAGAGACTCCTCCCTCTGCACCCACCCAAGCTCTCAGTAAGTCAGATCTTTAATCAACCTATTATACAGAAGTTATACAACATGAAAGAGATAAAATCATTGCCCTTAACTATAATAAATAGTAGCTTGGAAACCATTGCAATAATTTCAGCTCTCTGGAACTGGCTTCAATATTCTTAATGTTTCAAAAAGCAGGTAGTAGTCCAAATTTTCATGTGACAAGGGACCAGATCTAACATCTTGAACAAACAAATAAGCACAAATATCCAGACCAAGAATGTATGTCCAAACTAAGAAACTGAATGTATGTCTACAAACCAGTGTACACTGAGCCAGGCTTTTGAGAGTGCACATCATCACTTACTTCAAGGGAGCAACATTTTTGGAATCAGTCATTCTATCAGTAATAGGATCCATGAAAAAATATGACATCAGCAAACTCAATAATGAAAATTAAAATAGGGAATCATCATACAGAGAATCTGAATAGAAAGTCAACTTACCGCATCCTGTAGCAGTCCAGGTAACACCAACAAGAGTCTTGTGGATAGCAGGAAGTCGCAGCATAGTGCTGAAAATAAATTTTAGGAAAAGCCCTATAAGATGAAGTTCAAGCAATAGCTTTATAATTTAAAATTGTAAGAACCTAAGATTAATTCTGATTTATAATGGTAATTTTAATACCATGGAACAGATATGGGGATATATATATATACAGGTAGTCCTCCGTTTACAACCTTTCTTGGCACAGTTGTTAAATGAATCCCTGCAGTTGTTAAATTAGTAACAGACTTATTAAGTGAATCTGGCTTCCCCATTGACTTTGCTTGTCAGAAGATCGAAAAAGGTGATCACATGACCCCGGGATATGGCAACTGTCATAAATATAAGTCAGCTGCCAAGCATCTAAATTTTGATCACGTGACTATGGGGATGTCGCAACAGTCATAAGTGTGAAAAACAGCCATGTTGCTTTTTTCAGCACCACTGTAACTTCAAATGGTCACTAAACTGTTGTAAGTAAAGAACTACCTGTAGTTGGTAACACATGGTTCAAACAACATTTATTGTTTTAACTTATAAAGAGAATCTTTTGAGGGTGGGGAATAATTTCAGTGTACAGTATATTGAAAAATCTGTGCCAGATACTGGGAATATACATACATTAGTAGAAAGCTAGGGAAACACAAACTCTGGTCCCAGTGACCGACCCAGATTGGATCCTGCAATACATTAGTACTGATAGTCTAGATCTCCTAACAGTCACTGGAATGCTGAAGCAGATGAGATTCTTACAATCTGGAGTCCATAGGACATGGTGTGTCATTTCTGAGACTTGGCACAAGTTTATACATCATTCTTCTCCCTGAATCCCATGAGAATACTCACCAAGACAATGCAATAATGTACAGAAAGATCCTACCATGATTTACTGTCATAGCTCTTACAACCAGAAACTTCCTGGGGTATTACATATAAACAAATCATTCAAACGAGACAACCTGGTGTAACATCAGAGTAATATTTGAGGCAAATAATTACAGGGAGGAATAAAAAAGCCTGTCTTTACTACTGCTTATTCTGTCTACTCTAAAGAAAAAGAAAAATGCAAACTTCTCGAAAGCATGCATGTATACAAAGGTTTCTTAACATGCTTTAATAAGGCAAGCACACTGCAATTTTTGAGCTAACAAACAATGCAATACTTCAAACTCTTTAACAGAACTGAGTACAGGCCCCAGATCTTAAATAGGTAGAAACAAGATCAGTCTGTTATGAAAACATGAGAAAACAGAAACTGTCTCTTACCCAAAAATTCCTTTGAGCCTTATGTGGAGGATGTGGGAGGGGGTTGAAAGAGGTGCACAAATTTGAACTTTTATTTCACTATAAATAAGGCATAAATAAATATGGTATAAAATCGTCACAGGAAGCCTTTCACAGTGACTTCACTAATCTTGCTACAATAAATCTACTTATTAGCCTATATAACTTGGGATGTCTGCTTATCTATTTCCAACCCAGCTTATAGAGAAAAATAATAATATATTAGAGAAATAATAATAATAAATGAAAGCTTTTCAGCAACCTGAAGGCCGCCTAATGAACCAGGGCCTAGGCTATAAGCATAATTTATTCTTCAATTTTGCCAATCATTATATTTACAATGAAAATCTTTATATATAATTTTTTTAAAATAAATTACAATGAAAATCTGAAACTATTCTCTCATGTCATATTTAACCTCAATATTTTTTTGCATTTTTCCCACTTTACTTTGTGTATTTTTATAATACTGACTCTGACTTAAAGTGAAAGTTGAGGTCTTCAATTATACCAATTTAGAGAATAAAAATAGTTAAACAGAATGCAAAAGAAGAAGAGAAAGAATGCAAAAAATTAAATATAAATATAAATAAAATCAATTTAAATATAAGAATCACTAGCCAGGAAATTTCAATTATTTAAATCACAATTTATTCATTTATCAAGAATTCTATAATCATCGTTTTACTTATTTTAGTTATTTGATATAATTTTAATTTTCTTTAGAATTAAGAAATATAATAAGAAAATAATGCAGATTTCATTTTTACAACATAAAATCTTAAGAATAGTCCTGCTACCTCAAGTTGAGGCCAATCTTAGTCCAGGAGTTTATTTTTCACAATGGCCAATCTCAACTTACTATACTGCTCTTCTTACAAATTATATATGCCTAAATTAGGAAGTTTTTTAAAAGAAAATATCCAGGCAAACCACTTCGGTAACATTGCCAATATAACTTGCCCATATCCCATTTCATAGCCTGTCTTCTGTTATACATATAACAGAACATTTATATTTCATATCTCACTCTTTCTTTGAGCATCTTTTCAATATTTTCCAACAGAATTTTCTTAGTCTTTCCCAAAGTGTCATCCTGAAGGTTCCTGCATGTTTCTTAACATTTTGGAACTACTTTGTCATTGCCTTCCCTCTAACACTGAAAAAAAGTCACTGGCCGAAAGGCACCCATCTAGCTTTGTGCCTGAAGTGGGAATAGAATTCCCAGTCTCCTGGTTCCTAGCATGGTGCCTTAACCAGTACTCAAATTGGTTCTCCATATATGCATGTGTATACAAACACATACAAACTCAGCCCTGAGCATTCCTACATAAACTTCATGGTGGGACACGGGGTGGATTTAATTTAAATCAAGTCGATTTAAATCACGATTTAAATCACGATTTAAATCACTAGTAAAAAGGCTTGATTTAAATCAACTTGATTTAAATCATAATTTTTAAAGAGCAATTGTCATCTCTGTCCCGCAGCGGCTCCTCTGACCCGCTGTTGACTCACCGACAGCCCCACTCACTTTAATGGGATGGCTGGCGATGCAGCAGTGACACAACAAGGTGAGGGACATGGCAGGCAGCAGGTGAGTGGATGCCTGCTAACAGGCACTGCCAGGATGGATCTGAAATGACAGGTGCTCTTTAAATGTAAGGACTCATTCTTGCTGGTAGTTAGAATCTTTAATATTATTTCCAAACAAAATGAAGGTTCCCTATTTAGAATAATAAGCTGTCAGGTTAGTAAAACAGCGATATCAGAACTGATTTTAGGTTAATAAGTTAATCACACATAGTTGGAAAACTACTCAAATTCTTTTATTTAATTAAAACACTTAGAGCCTGGTACAGATGCATTTTTCTTCAAACAATCATACAGTTTGTAGTATACATAGATTTGCAAAACAATGGGATAAAGGAATATTCCTGAACTTTGTTTTATGATTTATCTCATGGTTACTGTGAAATTGTGTGAATGCATAATGCAGTGCATGTTATCTCAGCTTGCAAAGCTTGGATTCACTGAATGAGTTTACCAAAAATGTAAATACTGCAGAATATACAGCCTCATTCTACATAACTAAGCTCCATTTCATGCTGAATAAACTAAATCATTAATGTATCTTAAATAGAAAACTATATTTAGATAGATTTTAGTCCAAAAGCATTTTATTAAAATAAATTTGATAAAAATCAAAAAAATCCGATTTAAATTAAAAAAACTGATTTTTTTATTTTTTTTAAAAAAATCATTGATTATTATCCACCCTGGTGGTACATGGGCAATAGTACATTGGCTTGCAAGATATTTGTTAGAATAGACATCCTAACTTGCATATTATAATGTAAGCATGTTGGGGTAAAACTGGTTTTTGGTTGTTTTTGTGGCCAATAGGCCAAAATGTATCCAAAATGAATGATAAGGACACAGTACCAAGGCTATTAGCAAAGAATGTTATGAGGTCTGGCTAGAGGCAAGGATACAAATTCCTACAATTATGACCATTCATTCAGAGTGTTTGAAGTTACAACAAGCACTGGAGGTTATGACCAGTCCTCAGAATTCCAGACACCCTAGCTCCCTGCCGCCACGATTGCGATCTGGATTCTTGGCAAAGGTTCACACAATCAGTTATCAAGTGCCCCACAATCACCATTTGCAAACTTCCATGCTGGTTTTCCCAGAAAGTGAAATGGGAAGCGAGCAAGTCCCTGAGGTAAGTCTCCCACACACACTCTCCCCCGCCCCCTCTATGCTTGTGCCATGCATGTCACACCACCTGACCTGCATGGTGCTTCTCACATAACACCTCACATCCTCCCTAACCCGCACAGTGCCTGCCTCTTGCACATCCTTCCCGACCAATTCCCTCTTGCACACCCCCTCATATCCTCCCCAACCTGTATGACACGCCTCATGCACCCCGTGACCTGAATGATGCATCTTATACACCCTTGTACACCCTCCAACCCGCACTACAGCTTAAAGATTAGGAACATTTCACAGGGACAACAAATTTTATATTTTTTGCTACAATATTTGATTTTAAATTCTTGCCTATCTTAAACATCAGTATGTACATAACAGAACCAGGAGCATATTACTCAACCTCCTAAGGACATGGTCTAATCAATCTCCTAAAGAACAAAAATGGGTTCTGCTCATTTTTTGTTTCATTTTTTATTCATCTCCCTCATCCTTTCTTTCTCATTCAGATATCATTCAGATATATCACAGAACTGACTTCCCTTGTCTCTGCACTTTTAGAGAAATCAATTGCCAAATTTCTTTTTCATTTCCATATTAATAAGCAGATAAAAATGACAACCTCCCAAACCAGACTGAACTCCTGATGCACATATCTGTATTGCTTTCTTGGCAACAATATTGTAAGTGGTTTGCTGCTGTCTTAGTGCCTGTTCCCTACTATGATACTCAACAGCAAAGTTATCTCTTTGATCAACATTCATTGTTTTAAATAAAATATCCCTTTCCAAGCATGTCAAGAAATGTGGATGAACACAACAGTCCAGGCTGAGAGAATACAGTACACAAATAATGTTGAATAGTTAGCTGTAATCTTTTTTATACAGCGTATAGCACCCACTGTATTTTACACATCACAACTGACATTTTAATAATAGCAAGTATTGTGTGAGCATATGTAGTTAAAATACACTAGAAGCCAAACAATGATTTTAAGATTGCCCCATGAAGAACTAAATAGCTAAAACTTTCATAACAATATCCTCTAGATCACAATTAATTTATAGACTGCAGCTCAATCTTTTATATGGGTAAGAAGTTTTGATGGTTTAAAAGCTTCAGTTGTTCTGCCACACTGAATCAAAAATCTTAAATCTAAATTTCTATTCAGAGATACATTTTTCATCCACAACCATGTCCTCAGAATTTCTAAATTTTAAGAATCGGGAACTCGTGAGCTAAAGCAAGCAAGAGAAGGCATCCAGATTTTTAACAAGTGGGTGGAACTTAGTATTTATGACAACTGATTTTGTTTACAACTTTTATAAAATACAAGGAACTTTAAACATGTTTATTAACATAAACGATATCTATAGTTTCAATTCAAACAGCATTAGATGCAGTTTAATTAAATGGCTCCCCTTTCAAGCTTCTGTTCTGCCATTGAAAAATGTAAGAAAGCCTTTGTAATTGTTACTTAATAAACACAATAGGACTTGTTACTCGGTGGCAATTAGTATGAAGACATTCATAGAAGAATTATTATTAAAAATGTATTTTTATTTTTGTTGTAAAAAAGAATAATTAAATTTTTTTTAAAAAAAGAAGAATTACTCCAAATTAGTAAATCTCAGTCCTGAACAAGTCCCATAAGCACTGCCAATAAACATTTCTAATGGAAAGAAAGAGGGCTGAGCCTGGTTGTCAACAGATCGCAACATACTTCCGGGGGCAACAGGATGCCCTGGAATCCTAGATACCGACATATGGTAAACAGTCCAGCAACCTCTGTGCAAATGAAATCAATCCTGGTTTTAAAAGCTGCAGCATTCAGGATCCAGGGAGACAACATTTGCGATTGCAATTCGGAACACGCTGAAACCCGAATCTAATTAAACATATTAACAAACACTACAAAGATCGCACGGCGCCTCTTGCACGAACTGGTTTAAAGATCTAAAAAGCACTTCTGTAACATTTGGGGAGGGGGGACTTCAATGGAAGCCTTAAGCTAGATTGCTGAATATGTATGCTTTTTAAAAAAAATCAAGATATTAAACTGATTCGTAGACTTGGCCCTGCAATACAACGCGTACTGAATTAAGACGTCAGACGGAGGCTCATAGGAATTGAACTGCTCTTGCACATCCCTGCGACCACTCCATGCTTTTACACGTCCCGCTCTTCTAGCCCTCTTGTTCCTGCGCAATCCCAGCGGGAATCCTTGCCACGTGATGGTAACACTTCATACGCGCTTAGGACACCGGTTTGCACCGAAAACTCCTTAAAAGGGCCATTGCGTTTACAGACCAATGGAGGAGGCGAGTCATGCAGGTGAGAGGAAGGGCGGAATTCTCCACTGACAGCAGGAGGGGCAGCAAAAAGAAGGGGGGGAAGCCCAGAAGACCCCCCCTACCCACCCGCGCTCGACTTGGGGTGGTCGACCTCAGTCAAGGGCGTCCCCATCCCAGGCAAGCCCCTCCCACTTTCTTCTTCTCGGCGCCAGGAAGAAGCCCCCGTTAAGGGACTGCCTTCTGGCTCGGCCAACCGCCCGCCACCTTTCCCTTGTTACCTCCTCGGCCGGGGAGGCTCCTCGACCTCAAAACAGAACTCCCCTCGAACGCTCTCTTCAGTAAAACATGGCGGTGCCCTCGGCAATTTCCGCGAGACGCTCGGTAATTTACGGCCGCCAGGAACGGCCGGCCGGAAAGCGCGCGCGACTTTCTCTGGAGGGCAGAGAGGGAAAAGCGAGGGGCGTGCGCGGCGGACGGATATCTATCCCTATGAAGTGCGGAAGGATCCGTTGTGGTCTATATAAGCACCGCAGAGAAGGAACACGTTCTCTTTGGGACGGCGGTGTGCTGGTCGGTTGTCGCCGGCTGGAGGTTTCCCTGCTTTCCCTTGCAACTGACACTTCGGCGCCATCATGGGATTTGGGGACCTGAAATCTCCCGCAGGGTTGCAGCTCCTGAACTCCTTCTTGGCAGATAAAAGTTACATCGAGGGGTGAGGGGCCCAGACAGCAGCTTTCTCGCGTCTTGTCTTTCTGTGTGTCCCTGGGTGGGAACCTTTGGGGAAAGCGTTTCTTTCTGCGCTCGCTCTCGGCATTGTAGGCCCTGGTAGCCTTTCGTTGACGCGGTTTCCCAAGTAAAGTTGGGGAGGGTCCTTCGGTGAGGCCTGGCTCTGAGCCAGTGTTTCTCAACCTTGACAATTTTAAGGCATGTGGACTTCAACTCCCAGAATTCCACAGCCAGCAATGCTGGCTGTGGAATTCTGGGAGTTGAAGTCCACATGCCTTAAAATTGTCAAGGTTGAGAAACACTGCAGTCTGAGCTTTAATAGCACCCTGCGATCAAATGAAGAGCGGGCGTTTCTTTTTACACTCGTTTATAAAAAATATCGAAGGCAGGGAGCATAATTACATTATAACGAATTTAACATTCTCATTGTCATCATTCCTGGAACGTTCAACGTTGTTTTAATCTACGTTACCTTGGTTTCGTTTTTCCAAAACCATACGCGGTTCTTATTTTCCGGCAGAGAACGTGCTGGGAGAATGAATTGGCTAATAAAAAACTGACCGGCAGGGATTTGAATCGAAACCTTTTGCAGCTCAAAAGTTCTACAGCAGATGTTGGGTCTATTTTTTATAAATGAGCCTATGTTGGAAATGAACTTTGCAATTAGCTGTTTTAATTATAACTAGTGAAACACTATGGAATGAAGGGGGAAAAATTGAAACTGTGAGCCTGAGTTGTCAATGGCATGGAACAATTTTTATTTGGGGTTAATTGGGAGATTTAATACACACATCCCTAGGTATGTCAGATGAAATGAAGTTGCAACTTCAAATTGTTGCTTTTAACATGGGCATCCCCTCTTTTCTTGTAAGTCCATCTACTTCAGTGTGAAGATACTTTATGGCTGTGGTCAGTGCCTCTTACTAAAGAACCAGACCTAAAGGTCACAATCTAACACCAGGACTGGATTGCTCTATTCAAAGCTTAGTGAACTGGATATAAAAAGGAAAGGTCTGCTAATTCCCATCAGACGCTTGCATCTGAAGAGCCACCTAGTGTCGATCATTAACAAGTTCAGCCACCCTTTAATTTTCCCAAAGGTGAAAGTTGCAAAGCAACCATAGAATCCATACTATTGGTGTTTATAGTAATGATGGTACTTACTGTGGTAAATTAAAGTGGCTTTGCTAATTAAAGTTCATGATTACATTACTTTTCCTGTAGGTATGTTCCATCACAGGCAGATGTTGCTGTATTTGAAGCACTTGGTTCATCCCCTCCTCCTGAGTTATACCATGCCCTCCGCTGGTACAATCACATTAGATCTTATGAGAAACAAAAAGCAAGGTGAGGCTCGTTTGTGCTATTTGCGTTTCTGTTTCTGGTCTGCCTACAGATTGTGTTTCAGATAAAGCTCACAAGAGATATAAAATATTCTTTTTTCAGAAATTTAGACTTTGGGGTATTTTTCCAATAGGGATATGGAAAATATTATTTGCATAGGAAATTGCCAAGGATGGCCCATGTTTCCAAAAACATGCATGTTGGACTGTTCTGGTCTAGCTCAGAACACCAGGGCTATTTTAATCCAAGCAGAAGTAGTTAGGGGGAAGAATGGGCAAAAGACCAGGGATGTTGGTGGCTAAGGGGAGGGAGAGAAGGGAAGACCTGGGAAGATCGGGGTTCCCTGGAGTATATCATGCAGAGATTGTGACAAGGGAGAAAAGGCATTAGAAGATTGGGGATGAGCTTCTGAGATAAGAGGCTATATGTTGCCCATCTTGCTATCAAAAATGATTCTGGGTGGGGGAAGGCACTGGAAATGATGGAGAGTGCCAAGCAGAGAAAGACAGCAGCGTGCATGAACCTTGCCTGCACACTCACCTGAATATGTTTTACGCAGAACTACCAAAATAAAACTTAAATATTTCCCTCTTTTGTACCATATCCACAGTACAGTGGCCAGTAATATAAAATATTTTTAAGAAAATAAGATTGTTAAAACTGGGTCATTTTAAATTTGTAATTCACTTTTCCTGATGAATGCCAGTGAATAAATTGCATTATAGACTTACAGGTAGTCCTCAATTTACCACAACTGGGATCAGAATTTGTTGTAAGTTGTTGCTGTCATAAATCATCACATGACTCCGCTTTACAACTATTTTTCCAGTGGTTGTAAATTGAATCGTTGTAAGTATGAATCCAACTTAACCAATGCCATTTTTTGCCAAAACCCAGCAAAAAACAGTCATAATTGCAAGGTGGTTGCCAAGTGCCCGAATTGCAATCACATGATTGCAGGAATAGGTTGACAGCTGTAAGTTCAAATTTAGATCATAACTGACTTTTTGGAGGCTGTTGTTAATCAAATGATTGTAAGTCAAGGACTACCTATACAAGAGATAGGGTGTTTACATTTTAAAACCAGAAGCTTTCATGGTCCACATAGTCTAAATCTGATCCAAGTAGATTTAGAAAATTCCCAATTTCAGAAATTATTTAATCTGATTTAATATTAGTGTATTGATAAAAAAAACTTCTGAAGACACTTAATGGCATTGTTAGCTAAATCAATGACAGCAAGTCTCCCTCACTGATGCTCAGACCTATGCTGGAGATACATTATAAGTAACCATTTAAATTGCAATTTGCCTGCAGGGCATCAGGTGCCTATGAAGTTGGTATCTAGTGTCTTTGATATTTCAATATAGCTAAGGACAGCTGTTAATTGGTTGGCAAAGGGAGGCTGCACTTCTACAGCTTTATTCTGGACTATACTGAAGTAATAGGAATGTAGGGTCAACAAATAAATGCTACTTGTTTTCTAGTCTGCCTGGTGTGAAGAAAGCTTTGGGAAAATATGGCCCTGCAGATGTTGAAGACAGTACGGGCACTGGTGGAGATAACAAAGATGATGATGACATTGACCTTTTTGGTTCTGATGAAGATGAGGTATCCCAAACTTCTTCCTATTAATTTTGTGTGGGGCTTAGATAACTAGCAGCATGAACTTAATTGAATTATGTAATAGAATATAATGCAATTGAGGTTAAATAGTTAAGACACTGTGAAACACTACAATACTGCCCAATTGGGCTAGTTTGCACATCTCAGAATTGTAATGGAATATATTTAGCTTCTCCGTGGATTTCAATGTTTCTACAGAGGTTGCTCAGCTTGATATTTTCTGTTTGTCAGAATCACATCTAATTCTAATTAATATCAGCCCCATGTGTGAAGCAAGGTACACAGTTGATTTTAAATTCTGTTCAGTTGGTTGGTGGTCTGAAGGAGGAACAATTATGTGTAAAATCTATTGCATAGAAAGATCATTTTAAATGAGAGCAAACCCTACTCCCTACTAACACTGATGATGTTACCTACTTCGGTAATGAAGCCTCTGCAAGAAAACAGACAAGCTCAGAGATCATAAAGGACTGCACAGTTTAAAATACTCTCCTCTATAGAAGGATCATTCTCTTTTATATATATATAACTATTGTTTTATCAATGTATAAAATACAAATAAAAATAGGAAATTAAAGGCAGAAAAGGCATTGACCTCTGACTCTTTTTAGCACAATACAAGATAACATTACAACCTCAACTTTTTACTGTTAATAGTGTATAATTAACCATTTCTATAATAACAAATCTATTGGCAAAACCAAAGTCAGTTTCATTTTTTTTTTTTCATCACAAGCACAAAATCCAGATGTGATAGCCAAATAAAAAACAAATTCACTGTATTCTCTGATTCTTTAACCTTAAAGGGAAAAATATTTTTTCATCCATTTTAAAACACTAAGGTTTTCTTTTAAAAAAATTCTAAAATTAAAATATTCTAATACATCTTTTTTTAACTTCCTCTTAGCATACATATATTAAAGTTCACTTTTAGACCAATAAAATTCCAACTACAATTAACTCATTAAATTTGGATCACTCCGTCCAAATTTTCCTCATAATTTTTTTTTTTTTGTATACATCCTTTTTAAAACTCTAGGTTTTTCTTTAAGCTAATACATCTTTTTTTTAACTTTCTCTTAAAACAGATATTTTCAAACAATATTTTGAATATTGTTTCAATAATATTTTACAAACTTTAAGAATTACTTAAGCTTGCTTGCTTACTTACTTACGGGAAAAAATACATTTTCAAACTTCAGATTAAGACTTTCAATTACAAATATCAAACCGATGAAAAATCCATCCTAATTCCAATTGATTTACTAAGTTTAAATCACTCCTTCTAGCTTGTCTTCATGGAATAAAATCTTTCTTTGGAATGTTTGTCAAGTAGTTATAAGTTTCTCTTTTTCTTAAGGATTTTGCAACCTTCTTAATATCCATGAGGAAAAAGTCTCAAAGTTGTCTTTTTCAAAGTTGCAAATTTTCTTTTTGCACATATTTTTTTTATCTCTGATGTAGTTTGAGTAGTCTTTAACATCCTTGGAGCATAGCTGTTCTATGAACTGATGGATTTTATTTAAAGATTTTTCAAACACATCTCTAATAATTTGCTCCTCCATTTCTTAACTCTCTCTTTAATCAAAGAGTAGCTTTTTTGTAAGTCACTTAAGAACTGCTGACCAATCAGGAAACATAAAAATCAGAAAGTTTTAGTCACAGCAAAGACCAAGCTACAAATTACTAA